TCATCATATTCTTCTGGGCGTAATTTTGTACGTCCATATATTGCCTGCCTTCTGTGATTCAGTGTCTCACATTCGCATAAGATGTGTAGAGCTGTTTCTGCCCCTTCGTTGTATAATCTGCAGCTGAGGTCTCCGTTGTACAGCCCCATTTCATTCATGTATCCTCTAAGCGGACAATGATCAGTTAGTAACCCTGTAATTATTCTGAGCCGATCCCTACTATATAGAAGTAGTTCTTCGGTTCTTTTCTCGGACGGTTCCCTAATGAAGGTACTACTGTGTTTGTTGCCAGGTACTTTTGTCCAGTACTCTGTGTGCTTCTCATTGGTCCATGTCCTAATCTGGTTTCGTACCAATGATTTTGGTACCACCAGAGCTGGTTCAGGACCTATATATGAAGTTGATGATTCGTGTCTAGCGCATTCATCAGCTTTATCATTATCTGTGATTCCTGAATGCCCTGGCACCCAGTACAGAGTTGATTTGTTCCTGTTTGCAAGTTCATTCAGTTCCCAGACCAGTTTTGATCTCGCCTTCGGGTTTGTCAGAGCCCCTAGTGCACTCTTGCTGTCGGGGGATCCGGGGATTGATCCGCTCCTTTCGTTGAGATCTCAATTTAATAAGTCTTGCACACTGCAAGATGGCATAGACTTCCGCCTGAAACGGATATTTATGAAGTCAGTTCTCTCATTAGTAAACCTTAACATATCTATGTTAAAGTCACCACAAGCTATTAATTCTAAGTTTTTATACTTACTATACAACATCTCAAGTAATCGATCAAATGAATAAAAAAAAGTTAAAGTATTACCAAGAGGTGATCTATATACCGATAAAATTATGATAGTTTTATTCTTAACCGTTTAACGCTAATGCACATACCTCAATATCTTGCTCTATACTAATTTCTATAGGAATGTTATTTACTTGCAAGGATTTTTTAGCAAAAATGCATACCCCTCCCCTGATACGTTTCTCCCTACAGAAAAAAGAGATTAAATTATAGTCAGTTATTTGAAAAGATGAACACTCTTGTGATTTAAGCCAACTCTCACTTATACATAGAATATCTGGAGAATGTTTGTCTAAAATTCTCCAAATCAAGTGACTTGTTGTAACAACCCTGTAAATTGAAGTGCATCACACACAATTCAGCACAGATTTCAAGTTGACATATACTCTTGTTAACTACTTGACTGCTATTGGGCTTCGAAAAATCCTGACAACTGAGAACTCCTTGGTTATCAATTGATATAACTGGAACTAAGTTGTAGTTGCAGTTTGTTTGGATGGATGAAAATTTTCTCTAAACTTAAACCTCCTGATTACGGATCCCTCTGGCCAGATGGTTGGTTCGTATACTTCCTGGACCTTGTCTAAAGGAAAAGTTACTTTGTAAGTGGAATATCGCTCATTCCTATTCCATTCTACACACTCAAATGGTATTTGAGGTGCCGAATCTTTTAATAAATTCAGTAAATCTTCAGACTTTACATCAGCTCCAATACGAGAAATGTGTAAATGTCCCAATTTTGGGATTGTTTTAAAATTTGCGGATTTATTGCTACCAAGTATAGGTTTGTATTTATTTACATTGTTTTTATGTGGGGAATACCTACTGGGATTTCCACCAGTTTTTACTTCAAATTCGTTATTAGAAGACAGAGTTTTGTTCGGTATGTTGTTCACCTTTTTTACTGTATGGCTATAAAGTTTTTTTGGAATATTCTCAGTTGTAGATATTTCAACTGGATTCGATTTTCTGCTACTAGATGGCAATATAGGTAAGGAATCTGAGTTAGTCAATTGATGTTTCAATAGGTATATTAGATCTTCCTGCTCTTGGGCCCTTTTTTCTAAATGAAAAGACAGTTTACTCACAGATTCAAATTTGTCTTTGATGTCAGTCACTTCTTTCAACCTTTTATTACAGTCACCACAGGTTATGTTTGCTCTTGTAGCATGAACATTTCCTTCAACACTATTGTTTAGTACTTTATCACTGATTCTGTTTATATAATTCTTCAACTGGATGCTTGTCACTACTACTGGCACTTTTAAAGTAATTAACATATCAATTAGCTCATTTTTTTGAGCTTATTTAGCTCTGTTGTTAAAATCGCAACTTCATGTTCAGCCGCCATATTGACAATGCCATCGAAGGTGTTTTTTCCAAACATGTTTTCGGGATGACTGAATGGTCTTCCACTCTTCACGGCTCATTATTTTGGCCGTGAAGTTTGTGTTAAAGGTGTACTTCGGTGTCATGTGGTTCATGCATATATTTAATATGTGCTCCTCCACTTCTTCCGAAATTTCTCTTCGGTCCGATCTTTTGTAGATCGGTGAGTTTTTCCAGTCTAAATTGGCCCCTCCTGGCCTCCCCCATCATCACAAAATGTAAAGGAGGTAAATTCAGGGGTGTCTCCAATGCAGCTGTTGGGGTAGTTTTCATTGCTCCCGTCATTTCCAAACATGCAAGTCTTTGCACCTTGCCTAGTTTGTTGATGGCGGTCGCCTGCTTCATCTCTGGCCACCAGACCAGAGATGCGTATGTTATCATGGGTTCAACCACCATCGTGTGTAGACAATCTACCATGTCTGGTTTTAGCTCCTATGTTTTTCCATAGATGCGTTGGCTAGCATCAGTGCTACCTCCGCTTTCCTCTTTATCCTGCCCAAGTACTGGTTCCAGGTCAGTTTGGAATCTAGGATTACTCCCAGATATTCAATTTCCCCCTACACATCTTCCATTTGTCATACATGAATGATTTTTTTTTCGAATTTTGAGAGAAGTAGTTATTCAATGAAAGCAAATGGAAGAAAAAGTTGCTGTAACTATTTTGTCGAAGGATCTACCTTCGAAGGTAGAAGGAACTACCTAATTTTTCCATTTACATGAGTTTGTTGGAATATTTATTCTACTGGAACGGCCGTTTTTTCACAACTTAATTCAAATAATAAATATTCATATTTTATTTTCTGAAGGCAAGATTTTTTTCAGAGAAGACCCTGCTCTTGGAGATACTTCTTTCAACTTTCGAATATCTGTAGAAGTTTTCATGACATTCGAAAAACGAACCCATTTTTCTGTTTAATAAAAAAAAGTTCCATAACTTTTGAACTATTTGTTAGCACAACTTGGCTCAAAATGTAAATAACTCTGTATGAAATTGAGGATCAAACAAAATCCGTAAACACTAAAACATTATTTCCAACAACAACCTGTTCAATGAGAGACTTGCTGATACGGATGCAAATTCACCATTCTATAGAGTCGATATAAATTCATGAGTTCACAGTTGAAATCAATATTTGATTGCTAATTATTGAATGATTTAGTGTTACTGCATCCGTGAACAATTGGAAATTCTCCCGTTGGAAACTTATTGACGAGTCATTCATTATATTTTACGTCGTTTTCGGAGTTTGGAATTAGAAAAATAGGAATATGCTTTGAAGGCTGAACTTTGTATATAGTGTGTAAAAGCCAAATGGAATAAACTCATTATTTCGGTTACGTTCCATATTTTAACAATTTCCGTGGCAACGTTAGTTTCAAAATCCTTGTCAACTTGTTTTGTATGTTACAAACTTAGTTGTCAGTATTTTAATTCAAATTTAAAGTTTGTTAACTTCAAGTCTGACAAATGGTTAGATTAACGGATCTGCATAAAATAACAGTTTTACGAATGATTGTTCACGGAGATAAAAACCCGAACACAACAGGAAGTAGCTCGCTTATTTCATAAGAAATTTACTAATTTACCTCCAATATCTCAACGAACAATAAGCAGAATAGAGAAGCAGTTTTGCGAGCTTGGTCATGTGGGGCAGATAAAGAAGCAACTCAAATTAGATGGGATGCTTGAGTTTGAGGAAATCCCACATACATGGAGTAGACAGGCATCTACTACATACAGGGTGATTCAAAAGTACTTTGACAAACTTCAGGAGGGATTCCTCACAATATTCTAATATGAATTGTTCAAATAAATAAATGTCCGGAAACGCTTTGCTTCCAAGATACAGGATGTTGATTCATTCAAATTATGTCAAATTGTGAAAAATGCAAAATATTCGTAATAACTTCAACGTGCATCGATTATCAAATAATCGACTTGAATTTTTCAAGTCCAAATATTTAGAAAACGGTTGCTTACAGCGACTAGTAACAAGGGTAGCTTATTTACGTAGATATGATAGAGGAATCGATTTTTTTATTTGGACAATTCATATTAGAATATTGTGAGGAATCACCTCCTGAAGTTTGTCAAAGTACTTTTGAATCACCCTGTATAATGTTAGCCATATATTGATAGTAAACATATCAAAAGAAAATAAAATGCATCCCTATAAAACGATACCTACTCAGGAGCTCATGGAAGACGATTTTCATAAAAGAACTTACTTTTATGAGTAAATGATGGACATGTTGGATAACACAAGAGGTTCAATTTTCTTCACAGTGATTTTTTCGATTGGGATATATTACTGATTTGGCGACGAGACTTAGATACACGTTCAGTTAAAATTTATCGGTTTTGAGTTCAGTTCGTAATTGTTAATTCGAAATTCTGAAACTATAAAGTACAGAGTGACATATGACCAAACCGTGACAGAAACCAACGCTGGAGATAATCCAGCCGTTGCAGTAATGAATGCTGGATGTGTTTCATCTGAGAATTTCTAATCGTCAACTAAGGGACGATATCCAAGGAATATTTATAATGTTGGTTCAAGTTGGAAGACAATCTGAAATATATCCACATGCACGAGCTGAATATCCCTGAATAGTTTTTATTGAAGTAAACGAATCCCTTCATTTCTTTGACAGATTTTTCACCTATTGGCACCAAGTTAGCATCATTTACCGATGGTTTCTTGCTCTCACAAAAACATATTCAACCTGAGAAACCTCCAGGATGAGACACACAAGTATATTTCTGAATAGCATGAACACCCGCTAGATTGTTTGGAAGCACCTTCCATTTTGATATATCTAGTAAGTGTCAGTCTCTCAAAATTTCAGTATTTACGTCATTTCCAGCAATGAAAGTAAAAACTTTTCTTTGAATAATAAGTCTTGTGTGTCAAATGATAGTGAAATCGTGTAGTTTTCAGCTGTGCTGAGAGTTTCTAGAAAATCCTGGATAATTCCGCTAAGGTAATTGAACAAATTTTAATTTTTGATTTCCTGCAAAACTTCCATTCGTTAACGTTAAACTTTTTGATTATTTGCACTGATACCAAATTTCCAATTCATGAGACTAGTCGAACAGTATTCTATTCTGTTCCACTATCTCTTCTAGTGATGCAATGTCGAAGATATACTTACGAAGTCACCTCTGAATCACACAACCTAGTTTTGAAAAAAAATGTTTTCACAATATTCCTACTTGGTGAACAAAAACAGTCAATAAACTTACGAGAATTCGAAATGAATAACTTCCATCAATCATCAATTTATCTGATTATTCGTTATTGAGAGAGTTTTTTCCTGCAAAATTTCAATACGTCATTTTTAAAACGATATCAATGAGTCATTACGAGTATTATTTTTTCATCTGGCTTTCCATTTCTGATGCCGATTCCAGGTTTTTCTTTCACGAAATATACAGTGTGAACGTGAATTTTTTCTAAACGGAAACAGATTTTAAACAGGCAGTTCTATTCTCTCAACTTTCAATCGGGGCAGGATATCAGAGTCAAAATTTTTATAAAAAAGGGTCATTTAAAGAATATTGATAAATAGGCCAATAATTTCACATCACTTTCCGCCGAGAGGACGGTAGCAACTTTTTTCCAATGGAAAGGGGTCATGTGATATTTCTTGCGAATGAAATTCACTTTTTCAAACGGTTTTTTTTCAATTTGTTCCGTTTTGATATTACTGGAGTTTTTTCTCAATACCAAACCGTTATTCTAATACATCAACACGTGTTGATCCATCCACGCATTGAATTTACGAAAGAAGTTGAAGAAGGTAACCAGTTCGCATTTCTCGATATGCTGATTATGCAAAAGCCGGATGGTACACTAGACCACACGGTATATCGAAAGCCAACCACCCAAAAAACAAATTCACGCGGTGGCAACAACACTGATTACACGTTCGAGGAGGCTGGCAGACAACAATGACAGACAACAAGAGTTGAACACCATTGAAACAACTCTACAAATGAATAAATACTCAGAAAAGTAAAATTGCGGCTCCCAAGACCACACGGAAACAACAGAAAACTCGAGATACACCGGTCATAACAACCACACTACCATATATTGCAGGAACAACAGATAAAATCAGCAGAATTCTTCACCGACACAACATATCAACTTCATTCGTACCAGAACGAACAATAAGGTCCATGCTTCGTAATCCCAAGGATCAGATACTACTGGAGTTACAAATAGTGTATAAAGTACCATACCACGATTGTGACAGGACTTACATCGGCCAGACCAACATACGCAAAGATGAACACATACTAGCAGTGAAGGGAAAAGTCACCACGTCTTCTCTCTTCCAACACGTACTGCAAACAGGACATAACATCAATTTCGATAATACAAAAATACTAGCAAGCAATGAAAACTCTTACTCGCGAACAATCAGAGAGCCTATCGAAATTGAAAAACGACCTAATAATATGAACAAAAGGGATGATGCGCAAAGATTACCATCAACATGGAGATCCGTTTTATCGCTTCGCACAAGCAATCAGACCGCTCAACCCCAGAAGCAAAACTCAGCACATGACAATACAGGTACAATAACAGAGGCAGCTCAGGTAATAAGGCCAAAACAGGTAGTCGAGCAAACACAGGTAGTGGCAGCAACGCAGGTGAAGGGAAACATCGATCCCTATAAATTGACACAGAGTTCGAACTGATCAGTCTGGTTGAAAAAACCAGACATCACCAGAAAATGGCAAATGCGACTTTGACGAAACGTTGTGAAAATAATCCTTATGGAGATAAAATACGGAGTGAAACCCGAGGCTAAACCACAGACACGTGTTTCTGGCTATTGGCCTCATCAGCGCGGTGCAGCAAAGGGTAAAGATGGGCAACACTTGTTTGCCGAAAGCAGGAAACAGCACATACCCACGGAGTCAACAACAGGAGCCAACCGCACATTTGTGGTTTCAGTTAGAAGACCTAGAATTCCCAGGCTACATCTAACATGACCACGTAGGCAGCTATAGCTACCTGCGTGACATCCGGGTCCAGGATATTTATATCCTGTCCCGTGTTTATATCCGTTACGAATCTTCATTTTCCCTATTCCCCAATGCATACACCAATAACTGTGTACCTCCGAAATTCGTATCGGAGGTTTGAGAGGAGTCCAAATTCGTATCGGAGGTTGGAGAGGAGTCCAAATTCGAATGAATATTGAAGTGAAGGGGAACTGGCGGCTCCCAAGACAGATTTGATAAAGTCATCAGTGCGATAATGGATGTGTCATTTGTGAAATTCATATCGAAAGGACTGACGGCCCCCTAGTAAAATAATTGAGTGTGTTCATGAAATAAAAAATTGAATGAGAAAGCTTAGGTTCGCAGCATTGTCTCAAGCATGACAGCTACGCCCCCGGACGGAGTTTCTGTTCACTATGCCTCAAATTGGCAACTATCATTCCCTTCCAGCTACAGACCAATTTCTATACTACCTGTTCTGTCAAAAATTGTCGAGAAAATTTTGAAGAGAACAATGACAGCATTTCTCAAAAAATTTAATATCCTAAGAAACCACCAATATAGATTTCAATGTTCTAAGAACACTCAGGACGCCATCTCTTTTTATTAATTTAAATGAACGAGAGGCTGCGGCGGCGATATTCTGTGATTTATCAAAGGCATTCGACTGCGTAAATCATGAAATACTGCTTCGCAAACTTGAAGTTTATGGGTTTCGAGGCACGGTACTGTCCTGGCTCAGGTCGTACTTATCGGAGCGTGGCTAAATTGTATCATTTGATGGTAGTAAGTCTGGAAAGCAAGTAATTGAGAGTGGAGTTCCTCAAGGATCAGTTTTGGGCCCGACTCTATTTCTCATTTATATTAACGACCTCACCAACTTAGATAGACCTAGAATTCCCAGGCTACATCTAACATGACCACGTAGGCAGCTATAGCTACCTGCGTGACATCCGGGTCCAGGATATTTATATCCTGTCCCCTGTTTATATCCGTTACGAATCTTCATTTTCCCTATACCCCAATGCATACACCAATAACTGTGCAACCAGTTTTCCAAATTCGTATCGGAGGTTTGAGAGGAGTCTGAATTCGTAACGGACGTTGGAGAGGAGTCCAAATTGAATGAAAAAGCTCAGGTTGGCAGCATTGTCTCCAGCATGACAGCTACGCCCCCGGACGGAACTTCTGTTCACTATGTACAGGATGAGTCTGGCCGAATGCACCCGACTCAGAAGCAGCGGCCATATAAATTAAAGAAGAAGAAGCTAACCTCAGGGTGTTGGTTTTTCGTGACGGAGTGCGCGCGCATCGCATGAATTTGCTCTCATCATTTTTCTCCAACGCGTCAAAAGAAGTATAACTGCGAAAATCCACTCAACTGACGTTTCCACACTGTATATTCTGCATCAAAGGCAATGGCGTTATTCATGTATATCCTGCTCGACACTTTATTTTTCTAATAAAGAAAGTTTTCTCTCAGAAGTTCCATTGATTCCAGAAAACTTCAATAGCGAAATCCCGTTCCACGAGAACACCTTCCAATACATTACCTTTCATTCTCTTTTGCTTCGAGTCAACAGTCATTTTATTTCTGTTCTTGCGAAACCATAGAATGGACGCTTTAACGCTGGCGGTCGTAGAACCAAGAGAAATCAAATTATTTCATTCAGTTGAATCCAAAGCGTTGCAAAACACCGCCTCCATATAAGTCGACAAGGATTTTCTCGGTGGCATTTAGTGGTGAATGCACACAAAAACCCCTGCATAATGCGTCTCTAGAGACAAANTTTTTCATTCGTTTGGAAGGCCCATTGATGCCATTATGTGTGGATTATAACATCGTTCAAATGTCCGACACGGCTTCTCGGGATGGAGCACATCCGAAACGTACAATTTTTCATGACTCTGGCGTATACATCTGGCTGAAATTGACCGTTGGTATGGGTTATGTTGACTTTGAGGACCACTGTGCATGGTTTGTGTCTCATTTGCATACATCTGCGACTTCAGAAAATCCACGGTCTAGTAGAGTCTTGATGATTCCTCTCTTAGTCGATTGATGGTGGTTGGATTTCTGGTTCAGATACTGTCCTGTGTGAGTGGGTTTTCGATATACAGATGTTTCCTTTGTATATAACATGTTGAATTCAACTCAAGGTAATGAATAGTGCACATATGTATCTATAGAGTAGGAGTGAATGTAGGTCCACAGCACTCAGGCCATTGTAGATCCTCCCAAGGAGTTGTCCTCTTAGGTCATCGTCCATTCCGTCCTTCCCGTCCTGGTTATTTGAGTTGAGGGTGTATCAATCTGTAAGTGAATTTACGGCTTTGTTTTCTAACTTCTGGATAGTATCTGCGTTGAAACCATTATTATTACCTATCTGTGTAATTATATTAATTTCCCTAGCTAGACTATTAGCATACAAAGGCAGTGAGAATGCTCAGTGCAACATTGAATTGTAGGCCGCTAATTTATGACTGTTAGCAGATGAACAAAAATAGTTCTGTGGCACAGCCAATTCAACTAACAGAAGCAAGGTATAACGGTCGGAAACACACGCAACACGATCGAAAACACACGCAAAACGATCGAAAACACACGAAAAACGATCGGAGACGCACGCAAAACGATCGAAAATGCATGAAAAACGGTCGAAACAAACGTGAACGCGTACGTCTTTGATAGTTTTTCTTGTATTTTCGATCGTTTTGCGTACGTCTTCGATCGTTTTTCGTGTGTTATCGATCGTTTTGCGTGTGTTTTCGACTGTTATACCTTGCGTCTGTTAGTTGAATTGGCTGTGCCACAGAACTCTCTTTGTTCATCTACTACTGTCTGGATGGAAAGAATCGCTTGGGATGGTAATGTCTGTATAGCTGAGTTTTCTGAAATTATTGAACTCAAATGTATCATGATTGTTTGTAATGGTCAGGTATAAAAAATATATTTGTTTATCTA